ATATATATATATATATATATATATATATGTATATTTACAAATTGTTTGTTTCTTATCACACTACTTACAAAAAAGCTAGTCTTATAACACACTTTAGTTTTTTACAAATTTAATTAGGAACGCATCACCTTTAAAAAAAGCATAATAAAACCTTTGCATCTGTTCGTGGTCCCGTAATTAATTTAAACTGGTAAAAGCATTTTTTCAAATATGTGTTGTTTTTATTTAACATTTCTATCAATTTGGGATTCGGAATGAATAAAATTGGAAACCTTTTGTAAAAGTTATTATAAATAAGACGCTATAAAATTTATGAAACATTTATAAATAAATAAACACAAACAACAATCGATAAAAGTAATTTTTTTTTTGAGAAATAAAAACACATTATTAGTCAAATTAAATTAATGTTCCAGGTAAAGAAAACAATAAAGATTGACATTCTATGACTAAGCACGAGTGAAGTGTTTTCAAGCACATCAAGTCTTCTTAAGTACATCAGTTCCAAAAGTCAATAGGTCATACGACTGTCACTATTATTCACAATCGAATTAAAGAAATACTTCCGCTTTCGATCTCCACTGGTCTAAACAGCACTAATTGTGTTGAAGGCTTAGGAAAAGTCACGAACAAGCGTTAATGTCACAAACTAAGGCAGTTAGAGCGTAAATCATATTTAAGTAGAGTAGCTGAGCAATTAAAAATTGAGACAACAATGTTTTCATATGTTGCTTACATTATAATAATAGTTTTGAGACGAACAGCTGCACAACATGATGTCAAAGGTAAAGGTCATACAATTATTTATTGTGCTCTTTTAATTACATATATTTAATATTGAATATTTTAAATATATATATATATATATATATATATATATATATATATATGTATGTATGTATATGCATATATTCATTTATGGCCTCGGTGGTATGATGGGCCATTGTCTACATTTGCAAACATGTTTTGGCTTACTTTAGGGCGTACATATTTATCCATCACTAACTTTTCTTCATCTATGAAGAAATTATTTCCAACTTGCTGTATAAAAAAGTGGTGGATTTGTCTAAAATCTTCACTGAAAATAATGACTGCTCTTCCAAATGGATTTTAGATGAAACGTTTGGATCTTTTGCTAAGAGGTCTTCATACATTGTGTCAAATGCATTCTTTTGCATACGTTAAGTTCATTGAAGCTTCATCCCAGATTATCTCTTTAGCCTTTTCCATTTCATTTTCCGTTTTAGTCTTTTATCCAACCTTACATGTTAGTGTTTCATTTATTGGAATAGGCAGCTTAAAACAACTGTGGGAAGTTCTGCCTTCCCCTATACAAGTTGTTCCTATTCCTACAAATGCACATTGACAGTCTAATATATTTTCGATACCCACATAGTAAAGGAAGTTTTAAAGTGCTTCTTTGATCTTGTTAAAAAGCCACTGTTTACCCTTTGAACATGTATTTTCGCCTCTTAAATCGTTTTTTTTTTTCCATAATAGTCATGATTGCACCTTGGAATTTGTTGGTAAAAATCTGCCAATGGCTTTCTGTATGTTAGAAAGACATATTCTATGTCTTTAAGTTTCAGATTCAGAGCTTTTCTCCTTCAGGAAATAGTCTCTTTGCGTCTTGCACAAAGATTGTTTTTATTTCTGTCACGCAGTGCTGCTACATTCCCGACGTCTTACACATAACACAAATAAACTCAAACAATTGCCGAGACATCATTTTTGACTTGGTGGCTTTCATTTAAAGTTACATGTCTGATCTCCAAGTTAATTTTTAACATTTCCCATCAAATAGCAGCGTCATGTTCTGTGGAAATAGTAAGGAACTGAATAATTGCATTGTCACGCCCTTTGTAAACGCATTTGAAGATGTATTTAACGCGTTGAAGTGAGCTAAACTCTCTACGTTATTGTTTGTGTGTGTGTGTGTTGTATTTCAGACAACAGTGTGGATTTATGGCACCAAAAGTGTGTAATTCATTTTGTTTTCCCCAAGTTCCACAAAGTTTTCATCATCTCGGAATTGGTATTTTGGGTGACCATTGACATTGATGCTGGACTCGGAAAAGAAATATTTTGGGAATACTTTTGTTCATTCGCAGGTTTCCATACACGATGCTTTTGGATTTTATGAACAAAAATGTGTGCAAAATTTTACAGCCCACAAACACAAAGACAAACTTACATGACAATTTGCAGCGCGGATACTCAAAACTGCTGCGCGGCGTCTGTGAGATAAGGGAAGCCACATTTGAGCACGTTTATCAGGGATTTCCTTATTTCGCTCCACCTAGGATTACACGGGAATTTTACAAAAATTGTCAGGATAGCCATATTTCCTGACAATGGTAATAGCATCTTGGAAGAAACATAGACTCCCAATGACAGTTGAAGGCAATACAACATGCTTTACAGGCAATGTGTTAACGTCTTCAAAATGGTGCTTATTCACAAAACGGTGAATGACATCGTAGACTTCAGTTATTATTGTGTTTTGAGTTTTTCCAAACCAAGTACGACGGTTTGCCTCAGTCTTGCAATAAGCATCAACCCAGAATTGTTTAATTGGCTTTCCGGTGTTAAGGAGCAGGTTACAATTTCCATTATAAAAGACAAAATGATATGAATACTATTGAAGCTGGGAAACATTTGTTTGACCAAACGCCTTATTTAGATTTTTGATCCACACTGAATTCCGATATGGGAAAAGCAAAGATTAGCACAATGGATCACAATGTTTTTATGTTTTCTCAATAAGTTTTATAATAAACAATATGTAAACATTTTATTTTATTTCTTAGTTGTTTTTTTTTTTAGAGAAGATAAGAGATGTTTCTTTGTACCTCATTAGATTATGATGTTAAACAACATTTCAAAATGTGTAGAAATATTTATCTATTGATTTCATTTTAGATCCCATCAAGATCGAATCCTTCACAATCAATGGCGTCGAGCTGATCACTGATGATGTACCACGATCGACCTTCAGTGTTGCCATCAATTCTACAGTAACATTTGTGTGCACCGCGACTGGCTTCACGCAGGACGCAACGGTGGGCATATCGAAATGGGGCGGTAAAAAACTCAACCAGACTCTGGGAGACCGTGTACTGTCTTACACCATTGACCAGTTGCAGTGTTATCATATGGACATTTACTCTTGCCATGTGAGGTCTTATGGTGTTGTACACAGCAGCCTGGACCTAAATGTGAAAAACTGTGAGTAAACGACATTGTTATTGATGGTTGATTGCAAATACTAGAATTATCATTTGTTATCTCTTAATGTGTTTTCATCATTAAATCCATTGCAATGTTACGTTCTCTTTTTTTAATTTTTTTTAATATTACCACTAAGGTAAAAAAAAAAAATTTAAATGCTATAAAATGTAAAAAAAGAATTAAATTGAAAAAAAAAAAAAAAATAGTAAAAAAATTCAATGTAAGTATATTTTGAACTTAATCTTTAAAATTAAATGTTTTTTCATCATTAAATCCATTGCAATGTTACGTTCTTTTTTTTTAATTTTTTTTAAAATTACCACTAAAGTAAAAAAAAAAAATTTAAATGCTATAAAATGTAAAAAAAGAATTAAATTGAAAAAAAAAAAAAGAAATAGTAAAAAGATTCAATGTGAGTATATTTTGAACTTAATCTTTAAAATTAAATACCTCAAGCCAGCTTTTCCCGCAATATATAATAAATAATACTTCAAAAACAAAATACTTTGATCAAATTGGGAATCGACCTAATTACTTTCTGCACGTTTAAAGTTTTAAAACCTCTTTTGTTACATCTTAAGGATTTTAAAAATAATTTTTTTAAAAAATAAAATGAAACATTTAACTAAAAAATAAAAAAAATAAAAATATTACAGAAAACTTTTGAAAGCTGTGTTTATTTTTAACGTTAACTATTCTAAACAATAAAATAAATGATTTTTAAAAAAAAGTAATAATACTAAATTACATCATTTTAACCTTGCACACAGAAAAAAACCTACATTAGGTGTTTAATATGTTTTCATACGTTTAATATGCCAATATGTGTATTCTATGTGAAGGCGGACCCCGGTTATGTCGTCAGCGAGCAGGTCAAGTAACACAGGTGGTACAGCTTGGCCAAAGTGCAGTGTTCTCTTTGTGCGTCATTTCCCATGCCAACAGAAGTCCGACACTTGTTGTCAATGGTTCAAAGGTCAACAAGGGGATACACAAAGACAATATCAAGTTTAATCTCTACCCCATAGCGAATTCGTCTCTCTTTCATGACCTGACATTTGAGGTAAAAGTTCTCAACAAAACGCACTACGGTGTCTATCATCTCAGCTTGGGACATGGATCAGAAGAAAGACTTAACATTCAATTGAAAATACAAGCAGAGGGTAGGTCCACATCACTTCATTTGTTAAAAATATCAAGGTAAATTGATTGATTGTAGGATGTTTATTTTCTGTTACCAGGTTTAAAAATGAAATGTATGCACTTGAATACAAAGACATACAGAAACATACAACACAATACAAGCATATTTATTCAAACTGCACATATACTTAGCTAAATTACAATAAAACCATTAGTGAAGACGAAAAGAACTTTTATACTTCATGACCGGGGGCCTAGCTTGAAATGGTGAAAAGTCTTAGTCACCCCCACCCCCCTTTTCCGATCACTCTTTTCCAAGAAAAGAAAGAAATCACTTTGTCATAAAATACTCCACTTAAGTATAAAGAAAGTTTGGATCACACTATCATCCCCCCATTAGCTACGTCACTGTTCTTGGTGTGTCTTAAAAAGTATTACCTTAAAGAAATTTATTAAAAAAAAAAAAAATAGGATATGGAAATACTTAAACCTCTTGAGTGGAGTAGTAATTGTACTATACATTTCATGAACTAAACAGTAAGTATATGTGAAATAGCTTTGCGTTTACACCTGCTAAATGATTGACAATGTTATTCTTGCCAGTAAATTCAACATCCGTAAAGTTCAAGAGCAACATAACGGGCAATGGAGATGCTCTCATAACTTGTGTCGCTGAGAATCGTCCTAAATATGTGGCCATTTGGAAGGGCAACCAAGAGACAGTCAAGAAATATGGGGATGGAAACACCACAGTGTTGAGCACAAGTCATCTTGTGCAGTCTTCAAAATGCGGAAACATGGGGAATTACCGGTGTGTCGTCACTGATTATTCAGGCGAGGAAATCCAGAGTGTGCTGAATGTTCAAGTGGAAAAATGTAAGCTGATAATTTCCCTTTAAAAGAACACATTCTTGTTCCTTTGTTTTGGATTTTAAAAAAAAATGATATAGGTATATTAAATATTTAAAGCAAACCTAAAATGTTAAGAAATAAGAAACCGTGATTATTTATTCAATCAAAGTATAATTTACAAAACTAAATATTATAACTATTGGTGTTTTATTAAAATATCTAAGAAAATGACCGACTTGAAAAAGAAGTTACTTTTTAAATAAAAAAAATTTGCCACACAGACAATTTTTACAAATAAAAATGTGTAAAATATTATTTTGCTCTTTCATATAAATTTAATAATTCCCTCCATATGTATATATAATAATAGTGTGTGTATAAAACCAATGTATTAGCATTATTGAAAAGTTCCAAAAGTCTATATTTTTTTTTTTAAATACTGTTGTAGTACTTGTATTATCAAGTTTTAAATTTAATTTCAAGTATAATTAAACATACTTAACTTAGCTATACTCCATTGACATTTGTAGGTAAATTTTCCCTATGCCAAGGCGAGTCCTATCGTAAAGCTATCTACACTAAACTGGGAGACGACGTTTGGACTAGCATGTGCTTACGAAGAACAGATGGTTTTCAGAAAGTTACGAAGATAAATGGTGCCTCGTACCTCGTTAACGACGCATCGGAAAGCAAGAAATACGGCGTGTGGATTTTTCCGATCACGGAAATTTCCAAGAATTCTTACGAGCAGTTTAATCTGATGATTTATATTCGAAACATCACTGAAACCGATTGCCGCAATCACACCATAACACTGAATTCGCTGACCTATCAGGAACTGGCTATCAATTTGGAAATAATCGAATACAAACGTAAGTCGTTTTTATTTCAAGTAACAATTACTTATTTTTTTCATTTTCATATTACTATATTAATGAAGTAGTTGCTAAATGCATGCGATCATTATGTAAATGAAAAACAAATGACTAAATTTAATTAATAAATGAAAACGAAAATGTTTAGGCTACATAAAATATACAGTACGTATCTTCTGTGTATACAAAATATAGCTTTAATAAATAAAAGATAGTATCACCTTTATAAAAAAAAAATCAGGAATGTAACTCTACACTTTGTAACGATGATTGGGGGGGGGGGGGGGGGGGGGGGGGCTAAACATCCTCAAAGATAGCGTGACGTAATTTGTGTTTGACTCCAGCCTCAGGCATCTTTACTGTACTAACAATTGTGTTTACATTTTGTATTTCACTCTTAATGCATGTAATTTTGTTTTTTCTGGTATTCACTTCGGCATATTGTTTAGACACATTTAAGAATTTAAAAAAAAAAAAAAAAAACTATAAATAATTTTTAAAGACAAATTCAAACTAATTGGGCTTTTCATGGTAAAAAAAAACAACAACTAAATAAACCTTTTTTAAGGGAACTTGCTATTTAGGTTTTATAGACTGTAAAAAAACAATAATCAAATATAAATTTAAATCAAGTTATATTATTTTAACAGTTCTTTTTTTTATGTTTCATTTTTTTCTTTCTTTATTTAGCGATACTCAAAGATACATTGGTGAATTTCAAGAGCAGATTAACTTTAGCCGTGACTCTGCCTATAGTTATCACTGTTTTAGTCGCTCTCATCTTGGGTTCAGTCTACGGTGCGCGTCAGCTTCTGAAAGGTGAATATACAATTACACTGATGGCTACTAGTTTTATTATTAGGTTTTCATTTATGCTATCTATACAGTTATGACATTTCCCATCTGAAACGAAATGCCTCTTAAGAAATTAAGGTGCATATTTCTGATAAGTCAACGTTAACTTGTAAAGCATGAACTTGTCTTTATCTTGTGACTTTTTCCTTTAGAGACTTATATTGTAATAGGAAAGTCTCAGTTATGTTTCAAAACATTTATGATTGTAACGTACAATAACTTATACTCACGTGCATTAATTAACACTATAAAGCACGGGGTACTTAAACTAAGGACCGCGGGCCAGGTCCGGTCCTCCGGGGGTCCTAAACCCGACCCGCCTACCCGCCTTAATTGTACCCGGCCAGCAAGCAAAAAATATGGAGCGAGGCATTGATCATATCATTAACCTTGCTTCCCTTTTTTATGCTAATAGCTTGAATATAGTTGGTCTACATTTTAAATACATTACGTTTTTTTTTTCAATTTGCCTATTTGCTTTCACTACAAATGAAATACGTGCGCTGGAAATAGAGTTCGTTCGTTTTTTAACATCAAAATTTGACGACACAGAATATTTCAACAACAAAATCGAGAGTTGATTTTTCTTTGTTCTCTCTAGGAAGACGCATTTGTGCTCAAGTTAGGAGTTCCAAATTACTCACTAGGTGATCACTTTTTTTTAAAAATATAATTTAAAAAAAAAGAACATGGAAAAGAATATATTATTTATGTGTATAAGAGGTTATTGTTGCAATATTAGAATAGAATACTATGTGAACTCGAAAGGCGGTTGTCTGTGGGGCAGCTGACTGTATTCTCAAACCTACATTTTGATGTCTACCCTACATCACGTGACCACTCACTCTGGTTTTCCTACCAATATTAACATTGTTATTAAGCTTGGACAGTTGTGAAAATAAAAAAAAACCTGACCGACTCCAAGTCAATCATTATTCGGGTCACAGTTGTTCGCTAAGATGACGTTAGTAGGCGTACACATCACAATAACAACACTGGTCAGTGAAGAGTCATTCTAACTGTCATAATCTTTACTTAGCTAACGTAAGTAGTGACAGTGTATGAAGTTTTGTTGATGCTTGTTCAAATAAAAAAAAAAAAAAAGAAAGAAAAAATTAAAATAACAAAAATTAAAAATTAGAATTTTTTCAAATGTATATATTTACGAATATTTAAATTTTAAAATACAAATAATTTTAAGTTTTGTTGATTCTTTTTAAAAAAAAAAAAAAAAAAAAAGAAAGAAAAAATTAAAATAACAAAAATTAAAAATTAGAATTTTTTCAAATGTATATATTTACGAATATTTAAATTTTAAAATACAAATAATTTAGAGAAAATAAACCAAGGATCAGAAACCATTTTTTTCCCCCGTTTTTATTTTAAAATGTAGATATTCTCAAATGTGTAAACATTTTGTTTCCAATAAAATGGTGTTATTGTTTTTTTTTTCTACAGAACTTTCAAGAGAAAGGATACAACTGATAGTGGTATAATATGTGTATAATTATATGTATATAATTAGCTAAAACAAATGCAACAACAAAGAGAAATCACTATGCAAAATAATTATGTTCTTTTACGACAATAAATATATTGTGTGCACTATTAAAAATGTAAACAATAATTACAACTAGGGAATGCTTCATATGAATATTTGATTGAATTTCTTTTTTTTTTTTTTTTGTTAATATAATTTTTTTTTCGCTTAATGGATTAATTTTTCTAATTAATGTTTTTTTTCCAAACAGTTCTCAACTGGGACAGGGTCAAGAGAAACACAACATCTAATGGTGGAAATCTAATAGAGAACGTTACCTACCAGCCCGAGTCAATCCTGAGCGTCTTGAGCGGCCAGGAGATGTACGAGATGGCCAGGTCACAGTTCAGGAACACGTCCATGGACATGGACGACGAAACGATGCCGCTGGTGGACACGGGCGACCTGCAACACGGCACAGGTCGACTTGACTACATAAGCAGCCCCGAGGATACGGATGGCGCATATACGGCGTTGAATGACTCGGGAGAGATTACACATCCCACTGTTGAGGTGGACCATTTCGACGGTCATTGCTATGTTAACGACAGTGGCGTTTGTGGACGAGATGTAGAGTTTCGTGAAAAGAGGGAGCGATTGGATAGTGATGACTCGATGGTCAGCTTGAGGCACAAGTCAATGTTTGTTCCTGAAACGGAGGCACTTTTGAATCCACAACGCAAATCTATGTCCGTTCTTGAGAGGAGAAAATTTAGGTTTTAAAGGTGGACATACAAAAGGAAAAACAACTCCAAAAAAAAAAAGTGAAAGACACAGTTGTGTCACTAAGCTTGAGACACACAGTTTTAATCGACATGATTGCTTGCTTATATTTCTACTTCGTGAACTACGTGAACAAATTTATTTTTAAAAATACAATGAATAAGATATTTAATTTGTGTGTGTCAGTGGCCATCCATTGCATTAAAATATTGCAATGTAATATCTAAATTCTACATTATACAAAAATGAAATTAATAAATACAGTATAATTTTTCACATCTTTTGTATGCAATCTCAATGTCACACACATATGTCCCCTCTTACACATGCGCACTCACACGCAAAGAAAGACACTCGCACGCTTTAAGTTCTGAACTAAGGGCTTCTTCTTATTATTACTCGCTCCGGGGCAATTAAATCTCTATATCTAATCGCAATAGTTCATCAGAAAATAGCTTCATGGTTATTCAAATCAAATAAATTATTAGACGAACAAATTAAACAAAAATAACGATTTTATTCCAGGGCTTGCAATGTTCTTTTAATGATTGTTTAAAACTGTTACCGACACAACTTTCACGTTGATATTATTTCTCGATAAATAAAACATAATCAGAATATGGAAATGTCGTGAGAGTTATACAATCCACTGCTAAAAGCTTAATGATCTATCTTGACATCAGTAGCTTTTTCTGACACGGGTAGGTCTTACGAAATTATGCAACAAATTCAATCTTTCGGTTGGTCACAATGCAGTGTCTCCTTGACGTGAAGAATGTGTGGGTATTAAAGTATTGTCATTACTAAATTCCCCCCCCCCACACACACCCCTCCTCCGGTGAGGCAGTTCCTTGACGTGAAGAATGTGTGGGTATTAAAGTATTGTCATTACTAAATTCCCCCCCCCCCCCACACACACCCCTGCTCCGGTGAGGCAGTTCCTGGGAATGCCAGTTCCTGGCTGAGCCTATCGCAGGAAAACCTTGACAGCATGCATTTAACGTCTCTTGTTTCTCTTAGTCCCTACTTTTTGGATTCCCATATTCGCCAGCCGTCACGTTAATCAGCGGTACCCTTCTATTCGCTAAGCTAGAGGTTCTTGACCCCAATATTATTATTGGGAGACTGTTTATTGCAAATGTTGATGTCAAATGTGTATCACCCACTCTACCGAGTCTCCGTAAAGCAAGTCTTTGTGAATATTTCCGTTCACCAATCTATTTCCATTTCCTAACCGGCGACTACGACGCTCTTGCTACTAATCGAAAACATGTAAACAATTTTGTTAAGCAGGATTTCTTTCAGATATATCTCCCGGGGGGGGGGGAGTGCTCCCCCCACCCAGGGAAAGCCCCCCGAAGCAAAAATATATCCTACAATAAATCAACTGGCACTGCCCCCCCCCCCCCATCCGGGAAAAAATTCTGAAATAATCACTGTTGTAATGTTCCAGATTAGTCTATTACCATGAACATGTTTCATTTGTCTTCCTTCCTCTTTCCCAATTCCTCGGTCGTTGAAGGCGTTGTCAATAGATGTATTCCTAGCTGTTGCAACACGCTGTATGAATAGCGTATCCAGTTTCTGCACTATCATACAGTTAGTTTTTCCTTGTAAAAATATAATGTCTCAATATATTTATAAGTTGGTAGTTATAAGACTTAAAAAATAGAACCAAATCAAAAAAAGCGATTGTATACCATGTTATCATAAGTACTCTGAAGATATGTTAATCATGTATTAAGATATTGAGCAACGCAGACAAAAACATTTGCTGATAACAGCGATAAGATTACGTAAGCCGTCTCAGTACGTACATCCTGTATCGTGGACTATGCCCACATTACGTACATCAATAATATTGAATTATTCCATAAGTACGTACATCGTGAATAGTGGACTATGCCATCAGTACGTACACAATGCTTAACGGACTATGCCATCAGTAAGTACATCATGTATAGTGGACTATGCCATCACTAAGTACATCATGTATAGTGGACTATGCCATCAGTAAGTACATCATGCATAGTGGACTATGCCATCAGTAAGTACATCATGTATAGTGGACTATGCCATCAGTACGTACATCATGTATAGTCGACTATGCCATCAGTAAGAACATCATGTATAGTGGATTATGCAATCAGTGTCGCTAAAATCTTGAAGTTGTCTAACATTATTAAAAAGTGTTAACACTTACATGCGTATACGGCTTATTTGAAAAAAAATTGTTAATTCTATTGATGTGTATTTAACGATTTATTAAACATGTAAAAGATGATGACTTGCTGGCTTTCAAAAACTACGACACACATGGATCACAATCGTTCATTATTTAAAAAAAAAAAAAAATTATGCGTGTGAAAAATAAAGACTTTTTGCTTTTTTGTAGCTGTGTATGAGATATAAAATATCTTATTATTATTATTATTAAGAAACATTCACAAGTGGAAACTTTATCAAAACAACAACGAACCACAATGATTGTCAAATAAAGGACCCCTTCATATGGTAATGCGCAGTTGTATTCAACCAGAGGATGTTATATTAATAACTTATGTACTAGGAAACGCTTCAATGATTATTTAGAATGATCCAAAAAGCAATTACCCATTGTGAACCTCTTTTTCATAAATTAAAATTGATATGCTCCTATGCTAATTCTTCAATCGGTTTGTCGGGTCGCACAGGTGTCCTTGAATAATCACAGGTACTTATTGTATAAGCCAGGCCTGCACAACTCAAAATTTCAGAGGGGCCGTAATACTTTATGCGGGTTAAAAGAATAGGACAGGACTTATGCAATCCAAAAGAAAAAAAAAACAAAAAAAACATGGGGGTTGAAGCTATTAAGAAAATAATCTTAATAAAGAATATTTCGTTACTTCATGGGCCAAAAAATTGTCACTTTTGGGCCGCATACGGCCTAATTATGCGGCCTAAGGTCGTATGTTGTGCAGGCCTGATTTAAGCCACGCATTATTATTTTTAAAAATTGTATTTGTTATTGTTTTTGTGTTTTGTTTCTGATTTCCCTAAATGGAGACTAGCTATACGTAATTCAAAATTCGATAGCTAACGTACATTTACAACAAAAGTATAATAGTATAATAGTCATTAACTAACACTATGCTCTTCGCAGAAAAAAGTAGATACATTTTTGTAAAACATGTACTGGTGAATGAAATAATTTCACTAATGTGTGAACTAGTGTCAATTGATAACACGGAGTTGAAGACGGCCTGCTTCAGAACGGTTGTTTCCCTTAGCAATGATTATCATAGTGATTACACATTAATAATATAATGTTTGCACCACGAGAAGATAGCATATCTCTTGTGTAATCTACCAGACTAAACACGTGATTAGTCATTCCAATGTCTACATTAACGTCTAAGCTGTTTCGGCTTTCATATATCTCAAAGAGTTTAATATGGCTGTTTAAAAAAAATAAAAATACACAACACTTGATATTAACAAATAGATACATTTGCTTAATCTTAATAATCCAGCGGACCCCCTTTTTTTTTAAAGTGGTGTGACGCGTCGAATTTTGTATACATGACAATTAAAGCAAATGACCTTAGTTACAAACAACACACAATTGATATCGTCAAAAAATATGCATACATTTTATGAGACGAATTTGTCTTCCATGCACTTGTTAATACATGAGTGTATACTGGAAGTGTTGTTATGTTGGCTTATCAGCTTAATATTTGACATTTTAATTTTTGTATGTGACTATGTGAGTCATTTGTTTATGTTAATTTCTAAATATTCCTGATCGGTGGATTTTATCACAACCGTGTTATCCGTAATGGATGAGATAACTAACCGTACATACTTCATAGAAAGTTTCAATTGAGACCATAATACGACATATCCTTTATCCACGTTCATTTTGATGGATTACACACGGAGAAAGTTTTTTTCAATGTGGTGTTATTTTTCTTCCGGGTAAGCGAAATTACAGACTACAACGTACCCAGCATGTGGTTGGTTAGTGGCCCAGTGGTCTAAACACACTGTCTCTAGCATGTGTGTGTCGGTAGGCCGAGTAGTCTTAAAAAATTATTACTAGCATGCAGTTTCTATGTGGCCAAGTAGTTTAAACACCTTGTCTCTAGCATGTAATGTAGCCGAGTGGTCTAAAGACATTGTTTCTATCATTTTTTGAGTCTGGTGTTGAAGTTGTCTTAAAAACATTGTCGCTAGCATGTGGGTGGTGGGACCCCGAGGGGTCTAAACACCTTGAATCTAGCGTATGCGTGTCGGGTGCCGAGTGATCTAGAAAAAACACTGTTGCTAGCATTTGGGCGCTGGGTGGCCTATTGGTCTAAACAAATTGCCTCTATCATGTGTGTGTCGGGTGGCCGAGTGGTGTACAAACAATTGTCGCTAGCATGTGGTTGGTGGGTCGCAGCGTTGTATAAACAGATTATCTCAGCATGTGGTGGTCACGTAGCCGAGTGGTCTAAACAAATTGCCTCTATCATGTGTGTATGGGGTGGCCGAGTGGTGTAAAAACAATTGTCGCTAGCATGTGGATGGTGGGTCGCCGCGCTGTATAAATAGATTATCTCAGCATGTGGTGGTCACGTAGCCGAGTGGTCTAAACAAATTTCTCTATCATGTGTGTGTCTGGTGGTCGTGTGGTCTAAAGAACATTGTCACTAGCAAGTGGTTTTTTTTTGTGTGGCCGAGATATATAGACACATTGTCTCTAGCATGTTGGTGTCACGTAGTCGAGTGGTACAAACACATTGTCTCTAGCATGTTGGTGTCACGTAGTCGAGTGGTCTAAACACATTGTCTCTAACAGTTGAGTGTTGGGCGGCCGAGTGGTTTAGACACATTGTCTCTAGCATGTTGGTGTCACGTAGTCGAGTGGTCTAAACACATTGTCTCTAACAGTTGAGTGTTGGGCGGCCGAGTGGTTCAGACACATTGTCTCTCACAAGATTACCTTTCATCGCTGTTAACTACGTCACAGATTGTAAACTTAGCTTTCTTATCTACCTAGGCACTATCAATGTTATGTTTTAATGTACTTATGTCAGTTGTAAAGAGATCTGCCATTTTAGCATTATTCTATTACATATTATCCTTACTTATTTGTTATATCTTTGTCATATATATATCATTTAGAATTAATTTTGATTATAGTGTGTAGTCTGTACTTCTCGCATTATAATATATATATTAAAAAAAAACATTTCCCCTTATACCCCAAATAATGTTTCTAAAACAAACATAATTGAAACTAGTGGGAAAAGACACGATAGTACAAATAATGCATTTTCTAAAGAATTATCAAAACCCATTATTTTGGTTAGGAACTGTATCGTTAAGCTTATAATGACAAGTTAATGTATAATTAATGAAATCCTTGAGCTCGATTGATCAAAAAAGAAACGAAAAGAATTTCAACACTTTGTATACTTTTACAAATGCGTGCACTTCTAAGGGAGTTTTACATTTTCATCTTTTCAAACATAGTGGACACTTATTGACCAGCTAAGATCTTAATTCCTTGTAAAAAAAAAAAAAAATTACTTCGACTTGCTTGGTCACTGATATACATTGGTGATGCTCACGAAATAATTTAGAGGTTTATCCAGGTGCTCTTCTTAAAATCCATTTAGAGGCCCCGTACCAATGCCTGCCAGTCACTGTATTATTATGTTCCTATAAAATACGCCACCTGTCTCGTCTACTATTGCAGTGTCTCTATTTATAACGTGGTCTGTGAGGATGTTGTAAATCAACCCACCGACCAATGGCAATATCACGTCATCAGCGGCCATATTACCGTTCCTGACGTCTGCTGAGGGTGCGTTTTCTAAACGAGATCATGTGATCCCGCTTGAATTACGTCAGATACATTGGTTTTCTAGGATATGACGAAACTAAACTTTTGGATTTTTTTTTCTTTTTTATTTTTTTAATTGGCTAGCCTCACTGCCAACAAGTTATTGCTAGAAGCCATAACGTGAATAATCTAGTTCACCATCCTGAACTAATAAGCTCATTAGATCTACCGCGGACTGAAAACCTGTGCTCATCAGGATTATTTCAAAAAGTTCAATTGTCAAACTACCTTTATATTGTGGATGTTTTAACTTCAAAAATAAATAAAAATAACCACACAAAGACGTATTGATATAGAGATATGTGTATTCAAATTTATAAGTGTTTCTCATTCAAAAAATTCCTTGTTACAAATTGTCGGACACATGAGTTTTAAAATATTTATTTAAGGATTCGTAATTAGAATTCATGACTTTTAATATTGCAGGACTCAAAATTTGT